CAAAGCACGGCCAGTATGAGCCCAAGTGTTAGGCTACAGCGTAGGGATCATTCTTGCTAATAGCGACCTGCGAGTTTAGTGCAAAAACGCATGATCGCACCGAAGAGCCTGGTGCGTTCCAGCTTGGGTTTTGCGTCCTTGTTGTGCAGCGCTAAAACAGCGCTGCTACAGCAAGCAAAGAAGCATATTGTCAAGAGGCCGTCTGTGCATTTTTGGAAGCGAGTAAACTTAGTTGAAAATAGGTGACAACGACTAGCTTCGGGCAAAAAATTGATAATCATGCACGCTGGATGCCCAATGTGACGCCATAACGTAATATCTCCATCCCATTCGATGCCCTTTCCCTCTGCATGCGAGAAAAGGCCAAAACACAGCAAGCACGAGTCCAAGTGTTAAAATACAGCGTGGGAACTATTCCTTCCGCTAAAGATCTTCAACTTTATAGTAAAAAATCATAATCGCACCGGCAAACTTGGTGCGTTGCAGCATGGTCTAAATTGAATGCAATAAAAATGGAATCTAATGGATGCACTTGTTGCATTTGGACAAAGAGTGTGGAATCAGCTTTAAATTTTTATTTGGTTTGACCACTGTCCCCAGGTTTAGGTTTAAACAAAGTGTGTGATGCAGGGCAAAGCAAAACTATATATGTTATTAGATTTCCGGCCTGTAGTTTGAGATTTGTGAATTGCAATATGCCTTTCGCTTGTGAGGATTTCTAAAGTGTGAGTTTGGGTTTAAATTCAAGCAGTGTTAAGCCCTCAAGACTCAGCAAACTCTAATTTTCTAATTTCTACTGCAACTAAAAAATCGTTTTAGCGCTATTTTTCCGTTTAGCGAATCTGTTACGGCACATATGAGTGTATTAGTCATCAAAACTGGAAGACTCGCTGATCCGCTCCAGTATTTATTAACCATGATTTTTGCACAAATTCAGAAAAACAAACAAAAATCCAGATTTCAGTGCAAGATTCAGCGGCCCTTTTTGTGCGGCTGATGTCTGTCCCATGTTCTACGACAAAAATTCGGATGTGCTAGTTTTATTTCTCAGTTCGGCGAATGCTTTATAGATCATGAAATTATATTAAGACAAATGTTGGTATTAATGAGAAAAGTACAGTAAAGGCCTTCACAGCAACAAATAATCCCAGAAATGAACAAAAGTAGACTGTTCTTGGATAAATGGACTGCGAACATCTCAGCATTACCTCAGAAAGCAAGCCGTTAAATGAGATATGTACAAAGGAATGGACACATTCTGAAAATCTCGTCGTACACACGTCTCTGTGTCCGCTTCGACAGCCCTTGGATAACGAGATCTTTGTGCTGCCACTGTTCCTGCGCACTCAACGTGTAGTTGTTGGCCGCCTTTAGTATCTCACGCAGTGCCTCCTTCACGTCATCCCTTGCCTGCAGAGCAGACACCGACTCCATCGCCTTCTTGAGCGCCTCTTTGCGTTTGAGCAAGCGATTCTCCACCTGCACCTGCAACAGTATATCGGAAGTTTGAATTTGTTCCCGGATTCTGAAGTTTGCAGTAAGTTTGGATAGTAACTTCAGCGAACTTTGCTGTGATGACAAAGCACTGTCACACAAGCAGCATTTCTTCGGTAAATTTTGCTTCACTCCAGCTTTTTGAGACATGTAAAGTGTGTGGGCAAGAAAAGCTGAATACACGTAAATTTATTTAAGAGGATTTTTAAATCAATGTAAAATGTAGTTGGCGTACGAAATCAAATAACTGACAAACGCATGGGCTACTTGTGCGAAAATGCGTTTCCTGAATAGTTCCCGCAATTTTTGTCGCTACCGGCACCGGTTTTCCGGCAAATACTTCTAGCTAAACAAATTAAGACTGGCCGCCAGAACTGTCAGGACACACCCCTTTAAAATTTCAGCTTTCTAGTTTTTCTGGCTCCTCAAAAAAAAACCCAGGCTGGAACTCACCAGGATCTCCAGTGCGACCATACGTTTTTGCACCAAACCGGCTGATCGCTATTAGCAGGGATGATCCCTACAATGTAGCCTAACATTTGGATCACATTGGCGTGCTTTGATCCTTTCTGGCATGCAGGAGGAAGGGCGTCAGTTGGGATGAAGATGGTGCATTATAGAGCCGCAGGGACATCCAGGTGCATGATTACCGGTTTTTTGCATGAAGCCCGTTCGCTTTTTCGGTAAATGCTAGCTTTGTGAAATAATGACAAATGCAAATTTTTTGAAAAAAATGCAAATTTTCAGTTCATGAAAAACTGGAAGTGTTGCTCGAACGGTCGTTTGTCAAAAAATCCATGTTCATTTACATATATGGTTACGGTTCAGGTCCGAGTCGCGAACGATTTTTAAGTTGAGCAGTTGCTTGAAACTGTGGTTGGGGACTCGACACCTAAGTCTAAAATCTTTAGCTCGCACGCGCATAGAGAATATCCCTCCAAAGTTTCAGCTTTCTACCTTGCCTGGTTCGCGAAATCGTTTCCCGCCAACATATTTCTTTTGGGGGTCTAGACGCGTATGGGGAAAGATCTTAAAACGGGAAGATGACACGCAGGGTAGGAACATATATACAAAGTTTCAGCCTCCCAGCTTTCCTGGTTACTGAGATCAAAGTGAGTGACAAAATGCACTCGCTTCCGGACACACGCACACACAGCCTCTCGAAGATACGTGCTTTTGCTGGCTGTAGCAGCGCCATGGCGCTGCTATAGCGCTGCACAGCAGAATCGCATAAAAATTAGCAACCTACTCGAAAAAAGCTTTCACGGGCCTATACTTGGATACCACGCACACCCTTTGTCTGAGTTTGAGCTCATTTATACTTACTCGTATGGGAAACATCCCCATAAAATTTCAGCTTTCCGGCTTCTCTAGTTTCCGAGTTAACAGCCTGCCTGTAAAAAAACTTAGGCGGGCCGTACGTGAGCGGGTAAGAGCGCCCATTTTGGGGATGAGGGCCTGTACGTGCATGTAGGTTAAGTTTCCAAAATTTCAGTCCCAGAGCTTTTGTAGTTCTCGGGATGAAAAATCAGTACAGACGAACATACAGACACACACACACACACGCACACACAGACAACCCGTCATTAATATGCGTTTTCTCATTGCATAGCTGCAAAAAACGCATAAGAAGTAAGCCAAGGCTTTGGTTCAGAGCAGAAATGAATAATCAGACGCATGCTCGTATTTGTCATCATTTTTTCAGAAAAAGAAATCGCAGCATCCGCTGTATCTGCTGATTGCGGGGAAAGGTAACGAGGGTTGAATCGTCGAAAATTTTCTTTAAAAAAGTGATTGTAAAGTGATTTATCATGACAAAC